CACTACACAGTAATAAAATTCAGAACAATCCATCCTTCCAGATCAAGAATGTAAGGACTGAATGTAAGGATCAAAACAAAGCTCTGTACATCTCAGTATCTCCTTCCTGGAGGTAGCTGATTATAAGGAGCCAGGACACACATGAGCAAATTTAAAGAGAAACCTTCCCTCGTCTTCACTGAGTGTGCACCATCCACAGAAGCTTGCCATGGCCGTTAAATGAGTGAGCTTAATATCTGAGATACTGAGTATCAGTGACTGAGCTCTGGGCTGCAGAGTTTTGTCTTTGGGTAACTGGGACTAGGCCCTCCCATTGTGGTTACCTAAAGCCAAATGATATATTCAGGCATGCTGGTCTCTATGTTTTCCCAAAGCTCTGGTATGAGTCATTGAAATTAAGAGTGTTTCCCAGAAATCACAATTCCCAGCGCAAATGCCAGACCACACCACTTTTGAGACAAAATAGGCATTTCTTAATCTCTCTTTGCTAATGGCCAAAGCTCTGAAGCAGTTAATTCAATAATAAAGATTGAAATAGCAGCCAGGTAATGCTGAATGTCTCCCCATGCTTTAACAATTCTCCCCATAGGTAGGATTAACCTTTTCCTGTCTACTCTGTATTAGTTAGTAAAGCTGTCATTTCAGAAATGGGCATTTTTCATTACTGTGTTCAGGAGCTGCATTCTTCTTGAATTTTTGCTCTAATTGTCCATGTTACCTCATTAGGTTTTCATTTATTTGTTTTCTCAAGTAGAAGTCAGGAGATAACTGTCGGGAATCACCCATTCTATTCCAGTGGGTGGAACACCAAACACTTCCCTTTCAAGAGGCTGAGTATATTTATCTATATATATATATATGTGTGTGTGGTGTGTGTGTGTGTGCGCATTCCTTTATGGGATGCAGAATATTCCTGATCAACTATCTTTCTTCTCCTGATACTTTTTAGGTGCTGTAAGAACACTGCATGATACATGTGTGCACTATGTTTATGTGTAGTTTATTTATTTTTATATTAATTTTTGGTTTTGCCACATAAACTTCCAACTATCCAACTATCACAGTTTTTCTGTCTGATATTTTTCTCTGTTCCTGAGTACATTTCTTGGCTGGGTTGTCTGCTCTTCAGCTGTTCTTAAATGCCTCTGTTGTAGGTTTGATTCATTGGAGGACATAAGAGTTGTCTGCACTTGCTACTTCCTGACCTTTTCTGGATTTGGTAACAGAGTGCCCTGTGCATGTATGTCAGTGACGCTTTTGTTCTAAGAAGCCCTGGCTTGGCAGTTGTTGTTCAGCTGTGAGGCAGAGATCCCCTTTCCCTGGTGCAGAGAGGAATGAGTCTCATTATAGTAGAGCTCTTGGGGGATCTGACTTTTCCATGGCTGTGAACTTATTGGGAAAAAGAGTTGCTAGGAGAAGACTATGTAGTATTTAGAGCAAGGGTGGTGGCTCTGCCTTCAGTAACAAAGCTGATTTATTTTATAATTTGGGGAACAGAAATCAGACCATCTAATGGCGCAATCTGTGTAGGATTTTTCACTGCCAAACCTCTTACTGCTAAAGCAGTTCCAAGATGTTCCACAAGCACTGGATGGCATTTCTGCTGAGCTGGCTCTATAAATTAATTCATATCTGTTCCTATACTTTAACTCTTCTTTTGTCTCTCTGTTTTTTGGGAGTCTTTTTGTTGGTTTGGTTTGGGTTTTTATAGACTGGATGAGGTGGTTTATCAGCGAAGGGAAGGCTTTCTTCAAGCAAAACCTCTTTCCAGGCTGCTTGGGATGTCACATGCAGAGCTCATAGGCACAGGACTGTGTGACTTGTCCTAAGACACAGTGCATGAGGAGTAGGTAGGGGGCATTGTCACCCTTTCACTAGTGACTCCGTGGAGCTCAATTTCTCTCCTTCACCTTCTGTTTTCCAAACAGCTGTTTCAGCAAAGCTCCCTGCATTCACAGTCAGGTTCTTTAGGTTTGCCATCACCAGACTGCCTTGTTAACTATCTGTGTACATTTGAGGATTAAGATCAATTATCAGGTGGGGATTTTGCCAGTTGTGTACACAGCAGCAGCACAAGAAGGGTCCATGTCCTGCTTACCCCTGTCAGAGATTGCTGCCAGCCAGAAAAAAAAAAAATCCTCTAACCTTTTTGAGGTTTGCTGTCCAGGAAAGAGCAGTGGGGTCAGCAGCAATGCAACTGGCAGGAGTTGCAGTGAACGTGGTAGGCTAGGAGAGGCTGGAAGGAAGCATGAGTGAAAGGAGTTGATGAGTAGTTAACTCATGTAAGCATGCATTGGCTATTAAGAGCCAACAGATATTAATCAGAAGAATAAGAATCAGGATGCGCCTTAGCTTTGTCAAGATAAGAGAAACAGAATGCACCTTGGCAAGATAAGAGAAACAAAACCTATTGTCGGCAGAAAAGGCTGAACCAGCCAGTGAAGGACTGCGCGGGCTTCAGAAAGAAAGGTGAAAAGGGCAGAGTGAGGAAGACTGCCGGCCTTCATCGGAACGACCCCCGAGGAAGACTCGGAGCCTTCCTCAGTGCGACCACCAGAGTACACTGCGCTTGCGTGTCGCATATGATAATGATGTTAATGATTTCTGAGAAGTATAACCACTCCTATCCCAAGGAATGTAATGAATATGCATGAAATGTAACCATAAATTGTGCTGTGTAAAAGTGCTGGATGTACGCATTAGGAGGAGCGATCCCCCAAACATTCACCTCACTGGGTCAGTCTCTGAGGTGACTCTTAGCTCAACGTTGGAGCGAATCGAGAGAACAGGAGGCTGAGTTATGATTTGAGCACTGAAACGTTTTGCTGCAGCTTTGGGTGTTGTCCTCTGTATTATCTGTCTTTATGATCCAATATCTTCTCTTATTGGTCCAGAAAATATGCAGCAAGTACTATGCTTGAAATATGCAGCAAGTACTAAGTGGCAACTTTTGTGTACTGTGGTGATAACACAAATATTCTTGCAGAAAGATCTGTGCCTTGTACTTGTACTTGACAATATCCCATCATTAACTGTAACAATGTTGTGAATTGTCTGCCAACATGCAGTCTAAAAGCTCACACTAAATAATCCTGACACAGGGAAAATCTCGGATAACAGCTTTCCAAGTACTTATTTGGCTACGATATACAAGCAAGACAGCCACAGGATGATTCACTGCTTTAAGAATCTGGGCTGGATGACCTAATGGCTTCTTTTGGAGAGAAGGCAGTTCTCGCTTAGAGCAAGCATGCCTGGAGAAGATGGTTAATTTACACGTGCTTGCTGCAGCGCACCACCCGTTCCTGCCTTTGTGGTGCCTGTACAGCAGTCAGTGCTGGCTGGAGCGATGCTGCTACTCTCGACCCTTACAGTCCCTGAGGAAAGAGTGAGTGGTGGCCCCATACCTGCAGCTGTGGCTCCCAGTCCATCTGTAACCCAAAATTCCGGCGCTGGGAGCAGAAGCGCTGCCGTAGCTCAGCGGCGGGTTACAGGTCAGAGCGCGGGGTGGAAGTTCCCCCTGCTGGAGGAACAGACCCACTGCGGCCAGCGGAGCAGCGCAGCCGTGCGCCTCTTCCCCGAAATTCAACTTCTAGGGGTGCTGAACTTTCATTATGGTCTATCTGTGCCGGCAGCTTAACATGAAGGCTGTGGGTTGCTGGCCTGTCTGTCCCTAGATGTATTGGTTTTCTGGGGACTAGGTCCAGAAAGCCAGCATAAGAAAAGGTGATCCTTATGGAGGACTTTTGAGCTCAGCAGAAGAAAGGTGAGGTGTAAGGATGGGCTCTGAGCAACCTGGTCTAGTGGAAGGTGTTCCTGCCCATGGCAGGGAGTTGGAACGAGATGAATTTTAAGTTCCCTTTCAACCAAACCATTCTGTGATAAGGGCTGGATCCTGTGGACAGGGCTGTGAGGATGTCTGTGGTAATCTGGGACTAGAGAAGTCTGTGATCAGTTCCTAGAACTGCTGCATCTGGTTTGAAACGTTCAGTCTCTCCTGGCAAGAGTTCTTCCCAGGTTATTCACAATTCATGAGAGACTTTCAGCATCTTTCAGCTATGCTGTTTTGGAATGACCAGAACACTTTGCTGCGGATGCCCAGTCTTCAGAAAGAACAATGTGTGTAGCACGGAGGTGAGGATCCTGCAGTGCACCCAGGGCCAGAGGTGCCCGGAGCCCTGGACCTAATGCCAGAAACAGGCAAGCTGCTCCACAGACCAACTTCTAAGTAAAGCTTGGGGCTGCTCTGGTGGCAAGCTTGAGATCTCAGGATTCCTGCAAGACAAAACCTCATCATGAATTGCCATGGGCACGTGTGCTTTCAGTAGAAGGGAAAAACCAAAGCAAGGGAGATGATTTCAGGCAATCTAACCACATTTGGCATATGTCAGTGAAAGAAAGGAAAAGAACCCAAAGGAAACTTAAAGAGAACAACCTTCATGTCAAGCCAACATATGTTGTTTTGTGTGTGGGCAGCTGTTCCTCATGGAAATTGGACTTGACAGGCGTGAGACCCCCTAATGAAAACTGATGTCAAGGAGAGATTGCTGTTTGTCATCACTGATGATTATGGGAATTTACCTGGATCTTGTGGCCAACACCCTTGTCCGTTCTGCCTGGACACTTTGGAGGGTGTGGGGAAACGACGAAAATTCTTCTCTTTTTATGGATCGAAAACACCCCTCGACCCCGAGCCGTAGCTTTGCCTTTCCTTTGATGCGAACAGTCCGTAGGGTTTCCTTCGTGCTCGGCTGCGGTGCTCCAGAAGCGCCGCGTACCTGCCCGGTGCTGCGGGTGGGGCGGGGACCCCTTCCGCACCCCAGAGCTCCCTCTGGGCACTCCGGCGGCAGCGGGGAGCGTGGGGGGCTGCTCCTCCTCCCGCGGGGGGCGGCTGCGGGCCCTGCCCAGTGTGGGCGGCTGGGCCCGGCTGCGCGTTGGCTGCGGGCGGTGCCGCCAGTGAGGCTGCGCTGAGGCTGCGGGGCCGGATGGCCGAGCCGCCCGCCCCGCGCACTCGGGCGGCGGCCGGCAGCGGGCGAGGACACCGGGCGAGCCCTCCCCGCCGGGAGAGCCAGCCCTGCGGCACACGGCAGCGCCATGGTCTCATGGATCATCTCCAGGCTAGTGGTGTGAGTAGCTGCCGCTCGGCACCTGCAGCGTGTGCGGCATGCCCGCGTGTGTGTATGTGTGTGTGTGCGGTGTCCGCGCCGCTCGCCCCTGCTGTGGATACTGGGCTAAATTTAGCAGGTTGTTGTCGGGGCCGGGGCGCTCGGCTGCCCGGCGGGTGAGGCAGGAGGTAGGTGGGTCAGATGGGATTTTCCAGCATGGGGCTGGAGGGCAAAGCGCTGCCGCGCCGTACAGCGCAAGGTGACAGGGGAGAAATAGAGCGAGCGACATCGCCCGGCGCTCGGCCATGGACGGTCTCGGGGTCCGGAGGGACCGCGGAGCATCCACGGGTGGGGAAATGGACGTGGGTTTGGGCAGAGGCGCTTTGTTACCGGGCTCGGCGCGGCCGGGGGTTCGCGAGGGGGCGTGGGAGAGGCGGCCGCGGGGTCTCGCAGCCGCCGCCACCGCTTTCTTCTGTCTGTTTTGCAAAAGAAATGTCAAATATTCCTTTTCTCTTTTGTAACTTGCCGCCCACCCTCTCAAAAGACGATCTCGCTCTCCCTTTAACCTGTCAGCCCGGGAGAAGAAGCGTGCGGCTCTTTGCACTTGTCCTGCAGCTTTTCCATGGCTGAAACTGCTCTAGGTGGGAATATATGTAAAAATTCCCTGGAAATTCTTCCCAGGCAACAGGGGAAAACGGAGCAAGTTCGACGTATACGTTTATCTGCCCCATCTGATAAGAGGTTTAGTGAGAAAAAGGCGTTTTTGACGCCGTTTGGAAAATTCCTGGAGGAGGGGGATTACAGGCTTAAGGTGGGGCAGCAGGATGGCTGATCTCCCTTCTGGAAATGTGACTGGGGAAGATTAATGTTTGGCATCAGATAAATAATTTGCCAGTTTTCTCTGTCATGTACATACAGATGCATCTCCTGCAGATTCAGGAGGACATCTGTTGTGCTCGTAAGTTATTTTAGAGCGTCTGTGAAGGCCTGTCACTTTCTTTGTCTGAAAGAAACGTGCCATGATGTTGCACCATCAGCATGTTTCCAGAAAAGCATTTTCAAGGTCTCTTTTGCTATATGAGATGAAACATCCAAAGGAAAACCCACCTTCATCTTAGTTATGTCTCTGTATCAGTAAGACATTAAGTGTCAGATAGGAAGATTTTAGGGGGCTCTAGAGTTGAATTTAGCCCTTGGAGGTCTGTCATCTGGATTCAGCTGCTGCTAGCCATTATTTGGCTTGCACTTCATTCTGGGAAAGAGTGTTAAATATTTTAAAGATTTAATTTGAACAGTATAACTGTGCAGATATCTCTGCCAGCAATGTGAGATGTAGCATGTATTGTCTAAGGCAGCTTTTCTTTCATCTCTACTAGACTAGTTTCCACTTTGAATAAACCCACATTATCATGTAACCCAGGTAATCCTCAAGAACAAAGAATATCTACACAGAGATGGTAGTTTAACTTACTTGTCTGAGCACATGCACATCTACACAAATGATTTCATCTAAAACTCATGGACTGGGTAAAAATCTGATAGGGGCAGGACCTGGAGCAGTTGACCAGTCAGGTAATTAGCTGAGCACACAGACCTTCCTGTTCTCTTCAGTGTTATCTGAATAACATGTCACAGCATGGAATCAGCTGTGCAGAGGGCAGTACCAGTTATTTGTTATGCTGCATTTTCAGTAGCAAATAATGAATATGCAGTGTAAATATTAATTATTTAGTAGTCATAGTAATAAGTAAGAATTTTGCAAGGAAACCTAGGGCAAGGCAAGCTTGGTCACCACTTTCTTTCCACTGCTGAGTGTACATCCATCCTTTAAGAATGTTTTGCACCAGAAAGTGCTGGTTTGTTATGATCCCAGTAAGAAATTTGGACTTTTTAGAGTATTTATTAAAATACCGTTTTCTAGAGGTAGCATTGGGGAAAAAAAAAAACAAAAAAAAAAAGAGTGAGAGTATAAATAATCTTACATCCTGGAAATCTCAGGGTATCTGACTTGGGAAAGCCCTCCAGACTGACACAGCACACCATGCAGATCTCTCTGTGGAAAGGTTCCCTTACATTTTGATCTTTTCAGCTCTCAGAGCATTTTCTTTTTATTTTAAGGACATTTCCCTTCATCACTCCTACTGCCAGATGAAAAGGATGTTTATAAGAGAGCTTGTTGCTACATTAGATGAAGACAAAGATGGGCAGGTGGTTTCATGTCAGGTGATGAGCAAGTTGCTCCTGCATCTAAAAGGTCTGTGCATCCCAGCACAGGCCAGACAGCCAGGATACACCTCAGCACAGAGATCTGCACCCATTCAGAGTAAATGTGAGTTGGATCCCTGACTCCTTGATGTGCAGTGGTCTTCAGATTAGGATCATGGCAAAGATTTAATCTATCTAATCCGGTTTCCCTATCTCATTATGAATCATTAGTTGATCTATCAGTACGGATAGCTGTGCTTTAATTAGAACGGCCACCTGGTTGAGCTTTTTTCCCCCTCTGCTTGTGTCTATGTAGTTGTTTTTTCATTAAATCTTATTAACTGATAAGGATTATGAAGAAAGTGATTGTGGTGTGGTTTAGTCACACTGTGAATGTTGATATGTGCTCTTATGACTTCTGCTGATCTCCACAGGGGTTATGTCTGATATGACTCAGCTAACGGAAAGGGCTTTAAAAAAAAAGCAAGCCTTTGCTTTCTTCGATGCTTTGCTGCTTCCACTGTCTCTGATTTGTCGTTACTGGTTCTGTCATGGCAGTTTCTATTTCTAAAACATTGCCAAAGGAGAAGAACCTGTGAGCACTTCTCACCTGTTTCAGCAGGAAGTCGAGCAGCTTACTGCAAACCTTCTCTTACCTCATTTCACCTTTAGTGTTTGGGCTTTGTGTCCAGAGTGCTGGCTGGTTCTGTTCTGCCCACAGAGCTGTGTGCTGGGAACCCTCAGAAGAGAAATTATACCTTCAATTATACCTTCAGAGCAGCATCTCTGTGATAGCTGTGTGTTAGTCAAAGATACTGTGTTCAGGATCTGCCCTAGGTACTGTACAAATGTGAAACAAAAAGATAATCATATCCCTGGATGTATTTTTCCTCTAAGAGCCAATTCTCATTTTCCTGTGGTACTACTCCCAGGTAGTTTTTTCACTCATCTCAGTGAGAACAAAATTGGGATATTTATTTTCTCATGGCAGTGGATTACAGATGACTTTTCCACCAAGGGATGCCTGTGATCACTGGAATTGCAATTGTTGCATCTTGGAGAGACGTTTTCCTGTGTCTCTCACAATAACAGGAATGGGACAACATCATTGTTTGTGGGTTAATTATAGCTTTTTTTTTATTCTTCATCTCTGAGTACATCTCAAAGGACATCCTGGAACACCTCTATCTCAGTTTCCTCATCTGTGAAGTGTAATGAACTGTTGTGAATTTATCTTCCCTGAGGCAGACCAGAAGGGACCATTGGTCTGTCTTACCAACTACAGGTTACTGCTATTCATTTCAAAGGAGATTCAATTTGCCTCAAATGGTAGAGGCCTCTCTAGGAGAAAGGCTTGGGGTCTGTCTTTGTTGCTGCAGACCAGTTCAGCTGCAGTGCACAGCCCTGGATAGCTACTTTTGGCTGTTGTCTACAGGCACTTTGAAGTTAAAAGTGGTGTATATAAATGCAGCCTATTGTATTGGCATGGGAATCCTGTCCTTTCTCAGAAACACCAAACTTGGTTTATGTGCTTGGGGTCACACAGGACAGAAATAAAGGATTTTGGCTCCCATTCTGAAAGTTAGACACATCACACTGCCTGTTGAAAGACTTTCAATCTGGAACACGTGGCAGAGGAAGGAAATGTCAGTAGAAACAAGGCTGGGTTAGACAGGTTATCAGTAGATGATATGATGCTGTGTGATGACTTAGGCATTTGAATTCCTCCTGTGAGAAGCTTAGAAGTGCATTGCAAATTAATAGAACATGAGTAAATATGTTCTTCATGGTGAAAATCCACAAACTTAATTATGTTTTTTTTGCCTGCATTCGTTTTCTTTTAAGTCAAAATATCATTAATGGCCTCTCTGATCTCTTATGTTTTGATGTGAAACAGAATGGCAGCCTTAGATATGTTCACTGGGAATTCCCATCCCTATGTGGAAGTAACAGGGATTTGGGGATCTGTCAGAGGCATCCTTTCTTCTGGCTGTCCCTGGAAGTAGTTGGATTCTGAACAAAATCAAAGATGAACCAAAGAATTCTTTAACCTGATGTGTGAAATTTCCTTCCCTTTCACGGTTAGCTTTCTCTTTCTTGATTATTGTGATGCTTTTTTAGCAAGGCTGTGAGATTGGCCACCCTCATCCTCATCTGGTGTCAATCCACAGTGCATGAGTCAGACATTGATTTCATTTTTATATCTGTAAAGAATTTCCATTTTAGAGAAGCTTAGCAGATCCTTCCTCCTCCTGCTTTTCATGTGTATAGGAAGCCTGAAGAAATTTATGAATGAAACAAAACCTGAAAAGTCATATAATGCATATTATCTGAAGGTAGAAACTGATAACTTGTCGTTATGAGAGGTAGAGACAGGATCCACTCAAGCAGGCAAGGACTGCTCTCATAAAAGCAGAGCACAGCTTCAAGCTGTTGGTTCTTGGTACGTCAGCATTAGTGTTTCAGTTGATGTATACCACTTGATAGGTATATAATGTATTGGTTATCAATATATCTGCATTTGCATTTTAGTTGACATGCATCATGTATGTGAAGGTCCTTCACAACCTGCTTTATTTACTTGGTGTGGCAGGAGGCATGAAGGACTCAGGTGTTTGTTGCTGTCTACAGGCCTCACACTAGCAGTGTAAAATTGTCTGAAAATACAGCAAAGGACCCAAAGTGCAGCTTGAGGTCCCAGCCAAGGCTGTGGGATGGGCTTGCAGTAGACTCTTCTGGAGCTGGGAAGTGGAAAGGCAGACCACCTGCCCTACTTGCAGAGCTTACTGATAAACTTTACCTGTATGAAAAGTGGT